ATATGGTGAATACATCTCATTACACTGATTTACTGGTAGTCTCGAAACCCTACTCTCATACGAATACATTTCTACTACCAGTCCTTGATCACCTTAAACAAAATAGGTTGAATAAATCGCATAGTCCTAGACAAGTTGAGAGTAAGGCGTGATTTTCCGCAAAGCCTCACCCAACAATGAGTCTAGGTTAGATTTCCGTTCGGCTAATGGAGGCAGCCAAATCAGATATTGAACTACCTTCTTACTGAAGAATGGGAACTTTATTGGAGGAGGGGCAACCTAAAAGTAATGCTAGATTTGAATATCAAGTTTTTGTAGCATTTGCCTTCTTTGCAGTCTCTTTTCGCCGTATTGAATGGTTTCAACTCGTTTTCGCATCTTTGCCCTGTTCTTAGGGCGACCCAGTTAAACATGCCTTGTCAGAAGTCCTCTGCCATAGTAGCATTGATAATTCCTAGCATATGATCTTGGACTTGGTATCACTTTGAATTATCAGAGCTTATAAGGCAGAAGAATTCGGACAAGATGCATTCAAATAGTTCACTTTGACACATTGAACAAGTTGGCTAAACGGGTCGAACCATTGCAACATGATTAAGTTGCTATAACTTGTTTTTAGGTTGACATTCTTTTGCCCCGATGCCAGTCCATAGTTGATAATACTACTAATATTATCTAAGAGTACTTGTTTAATAACTCAGAAATAGATCAATTTATACTCGATTTGATCCAATCTTCAACCCTCATATGCAAATAATTTTTGCATAACTATATCATATCATCAGTTTTAGGAAGCACCACAAGAAAGTCATCATTTTGAGTAGCTCTGGCTGCGAATGACAGACTAATGACTGGTAAATTGTATTTCAAGTGATCTACAGACAGAACTCCAGGCACTCATAAAGTTAAATCAGCATCTAAAACTTTTGCTTAGTGAGCCATCATCAGAGCTCATTGGTTCTACATCAAACATTTTGCCAGTGCTTTTGGATCATCTATACATAATCTGGCTGTGTTCTGTCTTCCTCATTAAACACGC